TTCTATTCTATTCTATTCTATTCTATTCTATTCTATTCTATTCTATTTCTATTCTACTCTACTCTACTCTACTCTACTCTACTCTACTCTACTCTATTTCAGCTTTCTCTTTCTACATTTGGGGAAGGACACATTCACAAGAATCTCTTGCAATTTGCCCCAGAATCTATTACTATATACTTCTCCTGAATATTTTGCTATTGGAGCTAAGAATCATTGATGAACTTATCCATCATAAATTGGGCATCACTTATTAATGGACATTAGATATGGCAGCAATAAATTATACATATTTATTTGTATGGTATGAAGACACACCTTCCTTTAATTGTCCTGAATTTGTTATCATTCAAATTTATTTTATAGTCTTAAAATATGCTTAAAGAGAAATCTATTCATTTTTCCGTCAATAATCCTTATTTATTTCTATTTCTTTTCTGGATCTTTAAATTATGAAAAATTTAATCTAAGACTATTGTGATTGAATAACTAGAGAATCAATTCAGTGTAATGTTAGCCTAGAAACCGGGAGACTGTGAATTCTAATCCTGCCTTAGCCATGAAAGCCAGTTGAGTGACTTTGGGCCAGTCAGTCTTTCAGCCCAATTTCCTTTACAGGGTTGCTGTTCTATGGAAAAGACGAGGAGAAAGGAATATTGATATGTTTGCTGCCTTGAATTGTATATGAAAAAAGGATGGTATAAAAACATATTTTACAAAGGATCACACTCTAGATTTGTACAATGATGGAATAGAATAATAGACCTGGAAGAGACCCTGCTTAGACAAATTTCAGACAAATGGTTCTTGTTGGAGCATTCACAACTTCTGGAGGCAAGTTGTTCCACTGATTAATTGTTCTAATTGAAAGGAAATTTCTCACTCCCTTGATTGGTGTCCATTCATTGCTTCTTGTCCTACCCTCTTTGGAGTATAGCTTGACTCCCTCTTCTTTGTGGCAGTATAGTGCAGTGTTGGTGTGGTGTTGGGGGTTTCCGGTTCAATGTGTGAAGGGTGAAGGATGTGTGTTTGTGTTTATTTTCATGGTCATGGTCATGATGTGCACTGAAGATGGTGTTTGATTTAGTTGTATGAGGTACAATGACAATAAAGTAAAGTAAAGCCCCTGAGATATCAGAATACTGCTATCACGCCATCCCTAGTCCTTATTTTCATTACATATACCCAATTTCAGCAACAATTCTTTATATGTTTTAGCCTCCAGTCCCCTAATCATCCTTGTTGCTCTTCTCTGCACTCTTTCTAGACTCTCAGTATCTTTACATTGTGGTGATGAAAACTAGATGCAGTATTCCAAGGGTGGCCTTACCAAGGTATTATAAAGCGGTATCAATACTTCACGTGATCTTGATTCTATCCCTCTGTTCTTGCAGCCTAGAACTGTGTTGGCTTTTTTTGGCAGCTGCAGCACACTGCTGGCTCATATTTAAATTATTGTTCACAATGACGCTAAGATCCCTGTCACAGTTACTACTATTAAGCAAGGTACTACCTATACTGTACCTGTGCATTCTGTTTTTCTTGCCTAAATGTGGAACCTTAGTTTTTCACTATTGAATTTAATTTTGTTAGATAGCTCCCAATGTTCAATCTGTCAAGATCCTTCTGTATCTTAAGCCTATCTTCTGGAGTATTGGCTATTCCTGCCAGCTTGATGTTGTCCGCAAATTCAATGAGTTCCCCATCTATCCCCTTGTCCAAATCATTGATGAAAATGTTGAAGAATATTGGGCCCTAAACAGAGACTTGGGGTACTCCACTGCATACTTCCCTCCATACAGATGCAGTTGCATTGAGGACTACATGCTGAATGCAGTTGGTCAGCCAGTTATGAATCCATCTGGTGGTGATGCTGTCTAACCCACATTTTTCTATCTAGTAGTAGGTTGTAGTCTACTTTATCAAATGCCTTACTGAACTCTAAGTCAATAATATTCACAGCATCCTTCTGGTCCACTAATTTTGTCATTTTGTCAAAGAATGCAATAAGATTTGTCTGGCATGATCTGTTTTTGACAAACCCATGTTGGCTTCTGGTTATTACTTTGCCTCTAGGTGTTCACTGATTGGTTGCTTGATTATCTTTTCCAGAATGATAATTCCTTATTTTTGTTTATTCAATTCACATAGCTGAATATCTCACAGATGATTCTTCTTGGCTTACAGAATTAAAAAAAAAAACAGCAAAATAATAAATAAACAAATATAAATAGGCCAGATTAAACTATAAAAAATGCATAACCTGAAGCACTTACAATAATTGTTTACTATTTCAGTTTGATGAAAATTGCAGACAGTATACCTTTTGTTATCTTACTTGTTACACTGGACATGTGAAATGCTAAATCACAGTTTGATAACAATTTACTAAATATGTCACAAAGGCTTGGTTCACACATTATGCTTTAATCCATTATTTATAAATCATAACAGCTGGGACCACCTATATTTCAAACCCAAACCTAACAAATTACTTAGAGTTCAGCATGGTGTATTAACCCAAGTTACTCAGTTTTACATAACAGAATTCCTAAGAGTTTATTTTCTCTGTGATCAGTCCTTTAAAAAAAGATGTTGAAACCATTATGGCAATAACAAGATTTCCTTATGTGACTCTGGGCAGACTATGGCTCTGTCCACTGTAAGTTCTGCTATCACATATAAACATAAAACACACATACACTATCTAACCAGCATTACTTATTGTCCTCTGATAGCAAATTGGTAAGATTTCAGGTATTTTTACAACTCTGGTTTTCAATATTCATCATCCTTTTACATGAAAGCATTTTATTATATATGTTGAAAATATACACCCAAATGTTCTCCACTGTACCATAAGAAGCATAAGAACCATAAAGAAGAACCATAAAGAAGAATTCTAGTTTAGAATTGAGATGACACACAACTTTCCATGGACAAGATTTATTTCTTTTTTAAATATGGACATCTTTTACTACTTCCTTATTTATTCTTTGTAATTTCTATTTTCTCAAGATTTACAGTTCTATATCTAATTTTGCTGAATGTGTTTCTTGGCTCCAATTATCAGCAAGGCTCCAAACAATCACTCTTTCCCCTTCCTTTATCACCCAATCAAAAAATGGAATCTTACATTTGAACACAAGAACAATCGTTTTGGTAGTAAATACTTACTGGTTCAGTTCAAGATCCAAAGTGAAGGATGAACCAAAGGCAGGGATGAGGAAACTCACTTGGGCCAGATGGATAACCTAAAAGAACAAGAACAAATTAAGGCAGAGCTTTCTTTGAATTTTGCCTTCATTTGCAGTGATATTAAATACGCTCTTATCCATTGCATATTAATTGTGACAAGAGTTGTTCTGCAATACTGTTTATGTAACTAACTGTGTTTCATTACACATATTCCTTCTTAAACTTAACTCTCCTCTCCTTTTCCATTTCCTTCATATGCATACAGCGAGAAATTAATTTATTGCAATCATCACATACATAAGACAAAAGACACAGGTGCCTTTATAAAAATACAGAATACCTCATCACTGAATTTGAATTCACAACCACCATACCCAATACATCTGATATTAAAGAGAGGAATATAGAATTAATACTTATTAGGAACTATCTTACTTGCTCAAAATGATTCTGCCTATCCCATGAGGTCATCTAAAGAAAGACTCCTTACGCTCCTGTTCTGTTGGGCGATAGGAGGGCAAGAAGCTGGTCTCTATAGGAGGGGCCTCCCTGATGTACAATACTGGCCCACAGAGATAACTGGTCCTGGCTTTGAAAAGGCACTGAAAGTCATTCTCAGCCGGATTTGCTGACTGAGGGTCATTGGGAACCATTTATGGTTTTGTTCTGATGTTATTTTAATTGAGGGGTAAGAGCTGTGGTTTGGAGAACATTCCATGCTTAATGTTTTTACTTTGTCAACTGCCCAGAATCTATATTGAGGGAGTGATATAAAAACTTCGAAGGGAGAGAGGGAAGGAGGAAGGATCCCATAGGCAGGTGTTCTTCAGATACGCCCTTCATTGTGCTTTTTCAGTTCTGCCATACCCCAGTCTGAGGATGAACTAGGAACAAGGAACCACTCGCTCTGGGGTAGTTGCAGTCCCAAGGGTCAATCTTAGGTACCTGTACAGTAGGAAAAATGGATCGTGATGGAGCAAATAAAAATTAACCTTGCCCTGGTTAAGATCACACCTCATCCCGTAGCAAAGATGGCATCAGAGAACAGTCAGAAATTGCATGTTGCCCTGGTTAATTAAGGCTCAAGGGAGTACATGTGAGAGTCAGAAGAGTACACAGATCTAAGTTCTTCAAACTTCAGGACCCTGGGAAAAAGGCATTCCCACCTGTTTCACCTCTGCAATGGAAAAAATCTGGAGACCTCAAAACCCCAAAGATTAGCACAAGGCACAAGTTTGGTTTCTCAGATGCAAACTTCCTGCTTCTGGAACCCCAAACAAGTTTGGACAAAATAGAAATAGCAGAATAGTGAGATAAAACATTTCCTTCTTATTAGTTAGATAATAGCAGCCCCTTCTCTAAAATACCAGCTTTTAGTGCTGGTGGGCTTGAATTCCATGCTGCTAAATAGGCTTCTGTTAATTCTGACTTATTATTTGCAAGATATTATATCCCAATGCCAAACAGCCCAAATTATTGTCTTGTTTGCTGCTTCTCTGTTTGTTAAGCTATCCCCTTCTGTTTATAGGAATGATCAAGATAGCTTAAAACAAAAAATAAAGTCAAATTATAAAACAGCATAATGAAATAAATCCAATTAAATCAATTCAGTTAAAAACTTGGTAAGACCAGCACTCCTCCCGGAGGAAAGCATTCAACAACTGGGAGCCCAACAGGACACGACTTTTTCTTGAGTATCAGGTATCTAACCATCTTGAAATGGGATCACCTCCCTAAAGTCTTTTATTAATCTCAGTAATCAGGCAAGTTCTATCCACAATGCAGAAAAAAAAATAACCAAACCCTATATTTGGCTTAGAGCTCAACTCAATGTTTTAGTGGAACCAAGCATAGCTTCTTCAGCTAGTTTTGAATGAGTGTGTTTCTGACTCCAATCTTCAAACAGTACACATCTTTTTGCATGAAAGTTTCATTCAACCATCTTGGCTAATCAATAAGTAGCTAGCTATTCACTACTCCTCAACCTTCAAATCCTGTTTTTAGAAGCAGCTTGGATAAAAGTCAACTCAAAGCTGCCTATCATATATTAAAAGATGAGAATAGGACTTCATCACCCCCTCATTACCTGGTAAATATTATGGTTTTTTTCCCCCTTGAATCTTATAAAAATTCATAAATGAATGAAAGTAAGATACAGGTAGTTCCTGTTTAACAAATGCCCTATCCAGTAACTATTTGAAGTCATGAGGAGTGCTGAACCAGTCCTTGCACTTAAACCATTGCAGCATCCATACACCCAAGATCTGGGCACCTCACAACTGATGGGGCTTACAACCACCGCAGAGCCCCAAGGTAACATGGTTATCACTTGCACATTTCACAGATGGCTTCCAAGAAGCAGAATCAATGGAATAGCCAGCAGGAAAATTGCAAGTTGCAGTCACGTGATTTCTTGATTAACAACTGCAGCAATTTGCTTAACTTAATAACCTAATAACCACAGTAAAAGTGAGGTCATAAGGCACTGAAGTTACATGAAGTCTTGTTTAATGACCATGTCACTTAATGACAGATTTTCTGATCCCAAATGTGATTGTTAAGGAGGACTAACTGTATTGGAAAAACAGAATGATGTGAGATTTTGGAAATGGACATTTGGCAATTTTTGACTAGAGAAAGAGACACAGATAGTTTCTGAATTACTATTGGAACTGGGACCAGAATTTCCATTGCTAAGTGATGTGGTCATAAAGCGCAATGTCCGTGACTGCATTTGCATAGCAACAGCAATCTCTGCAGTTCTGTTGCTGTAGTTAAATGAGGATCATGTGTCATCAGGTAAGCACTTCCTTACTACTACTTCCTGCCAGCTTCTAAAAGCCAAAGTCCCAGTCCCAGGGGAGTTTCAAGCAGACCAGTAGTTAAGTAAGCAGCGAGATGGGACAGGGTGCACAAGTAGCCAAGTTGGCATGACACAAGCATAACGAGACTCAAGGTGCAATATGGGGGAGACTTACCAGAGCAACTTGTGATCTTCTCTGTCAGCTCCCCTAGAGAGTTTGTTTGTGGGAAGCTGGCAAGAAAGGTCACAAATTGCAATCCATATGACTTCATCATGCTGCAACTGTCTTAAATGTGGGGCGGTTTATGATCACATGACCACAGAGATGGAAGGATGGTCAGAACTTCGAGGACCAGTCATAAACTCCACTTGTTCAATGCTATTGTAACTTTGAACAGTTGCTGAACGATTGGCTGTTAACCAAGAACTACCTGTAGATAGATAATGAAGCAATTCCTTCATTAGAATATTTTTATAAAAAATACAAATATGGTGATATAATTGATATAATTAGACTTCTGCCCAACTCTGGATTTTATTAACATTTAAAAATTAAAGGATGGTGAACATAGAAGATGATTTCTGGATACCACAACCAATTTATATACAGGCCCAGTCTATTTCATTCCTTCTCTGGAACTGCAGGAAACTACAGGCACCCAAACACAGCAATCTTTAGGGAAGAGAAAGCTCAATGAATGAAGTTGAACTGAATTGCTGCAGCTGACCACCTGCAAGGACTAATTAAAGCAGGCACAAACCAACGCTGACACAGAGTCAATATTATGATTGTTTTTTTTCCAAAATATTTTTTTGAAGATGCAGGAGCCATTATGAGTTCTGGTGTCAGGTCAAAGGATGAATCAGTATTTACTGTATTCTATGCAGTAGCACAACTGAAACCCCTGGATTATAGGGATAGCTACTTGGCATCTAGATCTTTGTACCACTTTGTAGTCTAGCACTCTGATTTCACTTTTGCTTGAACATTAGTAAGACAAAATATCAATCAATATCTAATGGGCTTATTGGAATGTACTAGAATTGCAAGATCTGCAATGTAATGGCTTAGAGAACTGCACTTTACAAATAAGTACAGTATTTAGAATAGCAGTGTCTAGCCAAAGGAGATGTTTGCTTCCTTTCCAGCTTTTATTTGGCTTTTTTCTTCTTCTTAAGCTTCTTCCAGAGTCTGCATACATCTCAAACTTTTGTGTATATCTTTCCCACAGTTGCCTGAGGATGTTCATAAACATAGTTTCACACAGCCTGGTCAGGAAATGGAAACTGGCAGGAATTTGGGCAGAAACAAACAAATGACACTTTTAGTTAACAACACACCTATGTTCCTATTGCACAAGTTTGTATTCAGAAATATAGGAACGTATGTGACCTGCTGAATTGGACCTGTAACCCATTTAGTCCAGCAGTCTGTTCTCACAGTTGCTAACCAGTGGCTAACCAGCCGCCAACCAACTATGCAAGGAAGCCCACTAGTCTGCATGTGGATGGCCATTAAGGCTAATAGCCATTGAGCCTCATGAATTCTGTGAATTATTCCAACCCTGTTTGAACCCAGTCAAGATGACAGCCAGCAGTAGTTGTGGCAGTGAATTCCAAAGTTCCAATTATATGCAGTGTAAAGGTTTCACAAAGCTCAATAAAAATGCATGAAATCATAAATTGGAATACCATTTTAAGTTCTGTTCTATTTCTCACAAAGAATGGCCTTCCATGTTAGAAGGCAGTTTAAGCTGCTGCATCCTACTTGTTCCCTCTTTCTCTCTCACCTTTTTAAATTAGCATTCGTCTTAAAATGTTGCAGTTTATTTGATGACAGAATGCCAAAAGATCCTTTATAAAAACCTGCAAGAATGGATGGAAGTTGGCTGCTGCTAGAGGGTCCTCAATAAATGAGTCCTCTCCTTTCTAAAGCCTTCTTTCAGTAGTGATAAATAAAAGCTTGTGGCAAAGAGTTCCATAAGCAAACAATGTATTTTGTGACATGCTATTTTCCCTTCAGTTGAGAGTGTATTAGCACTGATTGTATATGTTCTGAAGATTTCTTCAATATTGGGATATGAAATTATATCAGAGAATGCCCATAAACATAACATAAACAGTGTGCTAATGGGAGGGAGGTTTGGTAATGGAATGTGAAATCAGATGGATCATCAGCACGATTGGAAAAAATGTAGACAACGGACTAAAAGCTCCTGGGACTGAATCCTGGCTCAAATTTAATCCTGCTAA